AAGGCCTACTTTTACTGGAAATAATTTCCTTCTTTCCTACATACTCTAACTTGAGCCTCACTATCCTCGTAAAAACGCTTCAGTGCTTTCAGTAACCTACCTCCTACACCATACACCTGCAACATCTGCCACATTGCCCCCCTATCCACCCTGTCATACGCCTTTTCCAAATCCATAAATGCCACATAGGCCTCTTTAGCCTTATCTAAATACTGTTCATTTGTATGTTTCACTGTAAACACCTGGTCCACACACCCCCTACCTTTCCTAAAGCCTCCTTGTTCATCTGCTATCCTATTCTCCGTCTTACTCTTAATTCTTTCAATAAAAACTCTACCATACACTTTACCAGGTATACTCAACAGACTTATCCCCCTATAATTTTTGCACTCTCTTTCATCCCCTTTGCCTTTATACAAAGGAACTATGCATGCTCTCTGCCAATCCCTAGGTACCTTACCCTCTTCCATACATTTATTAAATAATTGCACCAACCACTCCAAAACTATATCCCCACCTGCTTTTAACATTTCTATCTTTATCCCATCAATCTCGGCTGCCTTACCCCCTTTCATTTTACCTACTGCCTCACGAACTTCCCCCACACTCACAACTGACTCTTCCTCACTCCTACAAGATGTTATTCCTCCTTGCCCTATACACGAAATCACAGCTTCCCTATCTTCATCAACATTTAACAATTCCTTAAAATATTCCCTCCATCTTCCCAATACCTCTAACTCTCCATTTTAATAACTCTCCTCTCCTATTTTTAACTGACAAATCCATTTGTTCTCTAGGCTTTCTTAACTTGTTAATCTCACTCCAAAACTTTTTATTATTTTCAACAAAATTTGTTGATAACATCTCACTCACTCTCTCATTTGCTCTCTTTTTACATACATACATACATATATATATATATATATATATATATTATATATATATATATAATTATATATATATTATATATATATATATATATATATATATATATATATATATATAATATATATATATATATATATATATATATATATATATATATATACATGCATACATATATATATATATATATATATATATATATATATATATATATTATATATATATATATATATATATATATATATATATATATATAATATATTTATATATATATATATATATATATATGTATTCGTCCATATCTCGTTAAAGAAAAGTTGTGATCTAATTTCTTTGTAAAACAATAACATACTGAATTTCGATTCCAGAATACAAATAAAATTAATTGTAAAAGATAACTCAACATTTTTACGCTTCAACTTATGATGTAAATAAAATAATTATAGTTTCTAAGGAAAACGTCACCTAGATGAGCTTTATGTTATCATTATCTGGTCATTATCTGGTCATTATCTGGTCATTATCTGGTCATTATCTGGTCATTATCTGGTCATTATCTGGTCATTATCTGGTCATTATCTGGCCATTATCTGGTCATTATCTGGTCATTATCGTCATTATCTGGTCATTATCTGGTCATTATCTGGTCATTATCTGGTCATTATCTGGTCATTATCTGGTCATTATCTGGTCATTATCTGGTCATTATCTGGTCATTATCTGGTCATTATCTGGCCATTATCTGGTCATTATCTGGTCATTATCTGATCATTATCTGGTCATTATCTGGTCATTATCTGGCCATTATCTGGTCATTATCTGGTCATTATCTGGCCATTATCTGGTCATTATCTGGTCATTATCTGGTCATTATCTGGTCATTATCTGGTCATTATCTGGCCATTATCTGGTCATTATCTGATCATTATCTGGTCATTATCTGGTCATTATCTGGCCATTATCTGGTCATTATCTGGTCATTATCTGGCCATTATCTGGTCATTATCTGGCCATTATCTGGTCATTATCTGGTCATTATCTGGTCATTATCTGGTCATTATCTGGTCATTATCTGGCCATTATCTGGTCATTATCTGGCCATTATCTGGTCATTATCTGGTCATTATCTGGTCATTATCTGGTCATTATCTGGTCATTATCTGGTCATTATCTGGTCATTATCTGGTCATTTTCTGGTCATTATCTGGTCATTATCTGGTCATTATCTGGTCATTATCTGGTCATTATCTGGTCATTATCTGATCATTATCTGGTCATTAGGCTGTGCAGGAGAAACATCAATATCTCAGTCGTTACTTTCACTTTCATCATAAGTTTACTAACTAGAGCCAAACATTACCACAATATTGTAGGAGACTAATTTACGGGTCATTGTTACTTGGGGCAAAGAACAGTAACATGAATTATTCATAGTTTTTGTTGTTAATAGAGACAGAATCTCTTCTCAAAACACACAAATAGTACATTATCAAAGAACCAAAGAAAAATAGTAAGGTGAATACACTCTGCTTTTATCAGCAGAATGTGGATTACTTCACGTAAACTAAGTCTCAAACTTTTAGAAATATTTACAACTTTATCCAGACATCAGGTAGACAACATAATGTAACTGTATATATATTCTCTCTAGTGTTCTCTAGCAGCAAAATTTTCCCACGCTCCTCACCTTTCTTTTTCAATATCATTATTCTGCACCAGTTGAATAAAACCATCTATGTCAGCGAAAAGTTTTTGTCAGTTAACGAAGTCACGACATCTAAGTATTATTTACTCTATTTTATTTGTATTTAGTACAATTTTTGCTCCAATTGCAACTTGTTTTAATGTAAATTGAAGGTATTAATATTTATGTATTTTTATTTTTCACCAGGCATACAGTGAGAAGATACAGATGGAGATACAAATATTAAAAGACTCCAGAACCTCAGGAAAAGAGGAGGAGGAACTTTTTCAGGTTATGGAATCTTATCAATAAACTTTCAAAATCTCTGGAAATTTTTCAAAATTCATACTGGGTAATAACTATGACGAACGAAGTAGAAAAGCGAGAGATTTACTGTGTACTGCAGCTAAGTATGGCCTCTCCCTCACTTGTGTTCTACTGGGCTTAGAAGATGTTTGTATTCACCCATTACGAAATGAAGAAAATCCTTTCAAGTTGGCATTCCTTGGAAATCACTTTGATACACAAGTCACTCTGTGTAGAGACATGAATATGGTTCCATTTACCTTTTCTTTGCCACCTTCAGCAATTTTGCCTTCAGATTTACTGCAAGAATATTGGGTGAATGAAAGAAAAGTACTTAAGGATATTTGTTCAGGAAAACATGACCGAACGAAACTCAACGAAGATGAAACAAATATTCTTAAGAAGTACATTGAACAACTCAGTAAAGTGAAGTCAGACGAAGATTTGAAATCTATAGACATTACCCTGGAGCGTCCTGATGACTTTTTCTTATATCTTTTAGCTAAACATGACCTTGTTTACATACTTTATATACTTTACGAGAAATTTTTTGAAGATATGGATATAAATAGTGTAGTAGAGTCATTTTCTGACTGTACGATGTTGCACGTCGACACAAAGAATGTTACCAATATATTTTAGCAAGAATGAATGATGTTCAAAAGGAAATGAAGTGTAACATTCAACTAACAGCTGCAGATTTAATGAAAAAATATGAAGAATTCTGTTCCAATTGTCAGTTGCCCTTGATGACTCGTGAAGAGGCACTTCATGTCAAAAATGAAACTGAAGATGGAAAACGAGCACATGAACTTCTGTACATTAAAGGAAATTATCTAAAAATAACCAAACCAGATGACTTGATTGATATTGCAGTTTATAACGTGTGTGAGGAGAAGAAAGTTAGCGAGATAAAGGATAAAATAAAGATAGAAACAGACAAACTAGTTGAAAGTATTGAAGACAAGAAGTTCAAAGGTAAAACCGTTCTCACTGGATCTCTTGTGGAAGGAAATGAGATTTTTCACATCAACTATGTTGACTTCATGTATAAAGTTTCTCCGAAGCAGGACATCATGTGCAAAAGTTCTGGACAGCATGGAGAAGTCAATATAATCTCAGATGATTCTCTATTGAAAGGATCTACATTCAGAGAAGAATTTGCAAAACATTTAAAGAAAGCAATTAAAAATTATGTAAGTAAATCATCAGGTATATCTGATATATCAGTTGCACCACCGTTTCTGCTTCACACACATAAAGGTGTGATCATAGGCTGGGTTTGGAGCCATCAGTATTTCTGTCTGCTGACTTCTTACATCGTGCCAACACTGGAAGCTGAACTACTCATTAACGAGGAAGAAAACAGATTTGAGCCTGTATTAATTACCAATATCTATGATAAGTGGATACTTCGTAAGTACCCAGAAGAAACCAGATACTTCAAACATCTTTCAAAAGATGACAGAAAAGTTTGGTTAGCTTGCCGCCTTCTCAGAAAAATTACTCTGCAACTTTGGTTTGCTCCAAGATTCAATACAATGAGATTCACACAGTCATGGAATACTTGGTCAGTTGGCATTGAAGGTCTGGAAGAAAGAATCCTTAAACAACTATTCCAAGACGAAAAAAACACATCTACAGAATGGGACAAGAAATCTCTGTTTGATCGAGTTATGTCAGTCTATAGTCGAGCAGTAATAAAAGAATCAGGAAAATGGGTTCACAAGAAAGATGAAGACTTTCATGGAAATGATTCATCTGTGTGCGGAATCCTGGAATATCTGGAATCACTTAAGAAAAACGATAACCCCTAATCATACTGTTTACGATTACTTCAAAATTTTTAATCGAGCGTAATGATCAGCAGTCATAGCAAATGACTGGTGATGAAAGACTGATTCATTGAAAAATTAAAGTAACAATGTTTTGGTTCGATCAAACTAAAAGAAGCTCGAAAATCTGAAAATAAAATAGTGAGGATACTTGAGTTAGTAAAGTTCTGAAAGGACTGAAGTATCTTCCAGGTTTCATTTCTGATATGTGAAATTGTTGTAAACTGACTACCATCAGTTGTTGCTTCTTCAGAAAAAAAAATAAACCGATGGCTTGTTAAAGATTAGTCCATTTTGTCTGATAAGCTTTTTCAGTTATATTTTGCCAAGTCTGGTAGGTAGTGCTGAATTGGGTAATAACTCTTTGGCAACTTCATCATTCCTTTTGGTGAATGATCCATCCTGGCATCGCAGTGAATAAAAGTTATATGAAGTCAGTGGTCAGCTTATAGTTACTACCTTGTTTACGACTCACTTAAATAACTTTATGAAGTGGGGTAAGGGTAATAACATGCTTAAGACACCGCACACAAACTTTTTCTGTTTAAGAGAGTTGATATATAGTTCTTGGGTCACATTCTGAGGACACTGCCCATCTTAAGTTTCAATTTTTCTGAATAGGCATTGCCTAATGACTTATTTTATTCATCGTGCAAATGAGTAACAGCTCCTGAACACATCGGAAAGCCAAATGACCCAAATTCAGATGACTCACGTCAGAAAACACTTGTCCTGTTTCCTGACAAACCTTACCTAACCTAAGTTCCTGAACAATTGCTTTGATTACTTCCCTAATTAAGAATGCAAAGTTGGAAGAGCTGCCATTTAGTTATCTACTCAAGGTCCCTGAAATTATCAATAAGAGACGAAATGGTTCGAGTGTGGAATCAATTTTACTGCCAGATATTATTACGAGTAGTTTCCTTAATAGATATGTAAAAATCCCATAACTATTGATCTACAGCCCACATCTGTGTACTTATTTTTAGTTTGTATAATGCAGCTTCGAGTTTGTAGGTGAGATCAAACAGTACTTAAAGTGAGAATTGCAAAAAAAAAAAAAAAAAGAAAAGCAGAGTCGTTCGTTTCAACCAGATCATTTATTATCATATGTTATTCTCAACAACTCGAGATTGAGGGACTTAGGTTTAGGTTAGTTGCTCACACAATGTGTTTTGGGTGAAGTCCGATTCACTGCTCAAGGTGAGGTTCTCTCCAAAGTTTTCTATCCCTACCAAACAACCCTGGTTTTAATTTTGATTTCCTATATATATATATACATTGCAACTGGTTAGGTTGGGTAAGATTTGTCAGGAAACAGGACAAGTGTTTCCTGACGCGGGTATTAGTCATATGATGACTCGCAGCTGGAGCTTTAGGTCATCTGACGGAGGCCTTGTACTGGCTTACCGGTCCACCCCGTTAAAAATTAAGACTGTAATTAAAATAATTTTTACCTATATATTACACTTGAATGTTAGCATTAACCTTCGTGATTTTGTACAATTTTATTTAATATGCTCTATCTTCTTAAAAATGGTCAAGATTTTACATTGTATTTTTCTTGAAATATAACTGTTCCTTAAAACCTTCATTTTAGTGATTTATTGATAAACTACTTTTATATTTCCATTATTAACAATTAAAATTATTAAAACGAAATAAAAATGGTGATATCAATGAGGTTTTAATTGATCCTGCAATGTATATGCTTCCCAAGAGGAGAATCTTTGTATATGTCGTGCCGAATAGGTAAAGCTCCATTCTCTCCTCCATACTCTCTCCCTCCAATCTGATATCCAGGCTTTCGTCACCTAATTTTTTTTGTTATCCTCATCAACTAACTCTTTCCTATATTCACTTTTATTTTTCTTCTTTTACATACCCTACCAAACTCATCCACCAGCCTCTGAAACTTCTCTTCAGAATCTTTCAGAAGCACAGTGCCATCAGAGAAGAGAAACTGACAACTCCCACTTTTTGTTAGATTCTCTGTCTTTTAACCCCATACCTTTTGCCAATACCCATGCATTCAGTTCTTTTACAACCTCACCTATAAAAATATTGAACAACCACAGTGACATCACACATCCTTTTCTAAGGCCTACTTTTACTGGGAAATAATCTCCGTCACTCCTACATACTCTAACCTGACCTTCACTTTCCCAGTAAAAACTTCTCACTGCTTTCAGTAATTTACCTCCTATTTCATATATTTTTTTTGCAACATCTGCCACATTACCCCCCCTATCCACCCTGTTTTACGCCTTTTCCAAATCCACAAATGCCTCTTTACCCTTATCTAAATACAGTGGACCCCCACATAACGATTACCTCCGAATGCAACCAATTATGTAAGTGTATTTATGTAAGTGCATTTGAACGTGTATGTTTGGGGGTCTGAAATGGACTAATCTATTTCATAATATTTCTTATGGGAACAAATTCGGTCAGTACTGGCACCTGAACATACTTCTGGAGTGAAAAAATATCGTTAACCGGGGGTCCACGTACTGTTCAGCTTGACTCACGAAATTGTAATGACACGATTGCAAACAATCGTTTGCAATCGTGTCATTACAATTTCGTGACTCATGTTGACAGCAGTGAGGGGACTTGAGCTAGAGTTCGTCACGGCCACGCTAGCTGGAGATTCGTCTGTAAAAACTTGCATTTGTGGTCACAGTGGTGCCTGTGCTAACCTTCCTATGGTGTAGAAATATACCTAGTTGGACGAATTTTATTATGGCTAGCTGGTCCAGTGGCTAACGTGACGGTCTGGAGTTTTGAGACTCTCTGACCGCGGTTTCAAATCCCACCCGTGGTATGGTACTGTTCAGCTATATGTTTCAGTGTAAACACTTGGTTTACACACCCCCTACCTTTCCTAAAGCCTCCTTGCTCACCTTCTATCCTACTCTCATTCTTTCAATAATAACCCTACTATGCAGATTTATTAACCTATAATTTTTGCACTCTCTTTTGTCCACTTTGCCTTTATACTAAGGAACTATGCACACTCTTTGCCAATCCCTAGGTACCTTGCCCTATTTCATACATTGAATAAATAAAAGCACCAACCACCCCAAAACTATATCCACACCTGCTTTTAACATTTCTGTCTTTATTCCTTCAATCCCAGCTGCATTACCCCTTTCATTGTACCAACCGCCCCACGAACTTCCCCCACACTCACAACTGGCTCTTCCTCACTCCTACAAGATGTTGTTCCTTCTTGCTCTAAACACGAAATCACAGCCTCCCTATTTTCATCAACATGTAACAGTTCCTCAAAACATTCCCTCCATCTTCCCAATACTCACCATTTAGTAACTCTCCTCTCCTATTTCCTCAATTTATTAATCTCACTCCAAAGCTTTTTCTTATTTTCGACAAAATTTGTTGATAACATCTCAACCACTCTCTCATCTGCTCTCTTTTTACATTGCTTCCCACTCTCTTAAACTCTCTTTTTCTCTCCATATATTCCACCCTCCTTGCATCACATCAGGTCCGCCATCACAAATCCAGCAATCAGTTATTCGGTTCCTTAGATTATTCTGCACTAATTTTGGTTAGCATAATTTCAAATTTCCAGGGTCGCCACACCAACCTGCTGGTACTGTTTGGTGGCACTACTTGCTGTATAAGTCATTCCAGTGGCCTGGTGGCTAAAGCTCCCGCTTCACAGACGGAGGGCCCGGGTTCGATTCCCGGCGGGTGGAAACATTTCGACACGTTTCCTTACACCTGTTGTCCTGTTCACCTAGCAGCAAATAGGTACCTGGGTGTTAGTCGACTGGTGTGGGTGGCATCCTGGGGGACAAGATTAAGGACCCCAATGGAAATAAGTTAGGCAGTCCTCGATGATGCACTGACTTTCTTGGGTTATCCTGGGTGGCTAACCCTCCGGGGTTAAAAATCCAAACGAAATCTTATCTTATCTTATCTTATTGCTATAACCTGCTTATTTTCAGCCATAGCCATTGTTCCAACGGATATAAGAAACGCTTCTCGTTGTGTAAAGCACCTACACAGCACATTCTCCATTAAGATAAAGTGACTTTGAAACCAGTCAGTTGCCATGAGCTCAGTCTCGTGATGCGGGGGAATATGCTTTATTATTACGCTAATATCAACACTACAGCTTATTTGTCTATAACAATTGATCTAATATGACACAATAAACAATAAGTATCACATAAAAACATGTCAAATACTCCACAATGAATAATAATATTTGGCATAATACCGAGAAGTTCGACGGTGGTATGAAGAGGATATTGGATACAAGTACCATTCTCCTATACCTGTCTAGGGGTTTATAATAGAGAAAACAGATTACAGCACAGGTCTAACTGTGATATACACTCGTACTGCACAATAAAACTGAAACATAAACGCTATTTTCTTTACATAGATTTTCACACAGCAACATAAGTGTAGAGAACCTAGGATAACCCAAAAAAGTCAGACAAAGTGGCTTATTTCAAGATACCCTGACATGGCGTGTGCCATATATGATGTTGTAGGGTATATATTTTTTTCTCAGTTGTTTGTTGGGCTATCTTATTGAAACTTGGACAATGTATGATGGAAGGATACTTCTTACGTACTCCCAAAACTAATAAGTAGATAAAAAAACGAGATAAATAAAGAGCTACATTCTCTTACCTATTAAGCCTGCGCTCTTTTATTTAGTGTGACGTGAGGTGATAGTGTTGATACTGATTGATGAAAGATTTTCTTTTTGGGAGATTTCTCTTTCTTTTTGGCGTCACCACAGTCCTCGATGGGAGATGCCGACATATGTTGAACAATATATATATATATATATATATACTATATATATATATATATATATATATATATATATATATATATATAATATATATATATATTATATATATATTTTGTATATATAATATATGTAAATAATGTATGTGAAAATTTGTGTGGACTACAGCCTCCAGTGAAGTCGCCTACTCCTGGCAAACTCTGCGACAACGCGAAGCTCTGAGGTGGGTACTCATCAGCCTCACAAGTGGACTTATAGGAACTAGATTTTCGCACAAATGATGGTATTGCAAGAAACCTCACCTGCACGCACGTATCTAAAAAGGAAAAACTTACATTAGTGTTGTACAGCATATATCTCATCCTTATCTTCACTTACCTAACCCTATCTTTAGCCCCCCTTGGACTTCACCCTTGGGAACCACGTTTGCAACCGAGCATTAAATTCTGCAATAATCAACTCGTTTATATAGGTGTCCTGGCCTGCACCTCAGAAATTTCCCATATTCCAAGAGGGTAGTGTTATCCCTCAAAGTAATATACTATACAGACTCAGACGCTAGCTCAAATCGCTCTGAGGTCACTGTACTTACTGGGCATGCTCCATCTCTATCTGTAGAGCACGACCGAGCCACAGTAACTCACACACACAATCTCCTAAGTCACTGGCCAGATCTAACACGGAAAGGTGAATTACTCGTCCTTACTGAGTCTGGCCTTGATGAGATAGAATCAACTACGGTACTTGAGGTGCACTCTACCAGAAATTTCCCCAGGTCTCAGATGATGAAGACACGTGGAGCGCGCGCCTTGGCATGTTCACTGGCACGTCTCGTCCGAGGTCGTGTCTAATCGTAAAGAAGGAACCATTCTGTCTACTTGTGACCTGCGCCTCCGTCCATTGACAAGCCTAGGGCTGCCAGTTCTCCCTAAGCTAACTTAGTTCCTAATGTTTGCCTAGCATTATCGGACCTTAACTACCTATGTTAAGGTCTTGAGGTCCTAAACTCTATTCTTATCTACAGATGTCTTAGGAAGCCTAATAATGAGTGTACTACCAGTAAACCTACCTACTCCTTCCCATGAAGAGTAAATCTATAAAAAATAAGCGTACCAAACTCGCGCTAACCAGAGAATGCAATGTTTGCGGGAGGGTTTAAGGAGCCTCGCTCGTATCTCAGACGACCAGACCACCATATGCTGGATCTGAGCTGTGGAACTACTATTGGAACGCAATAAATTCCACAGTCACTTTCAGACCGCCGGCGAAGGTAGGCAGCTAAGTCTAGATCAACGTCTAGCCCCCCAGGACTCCCCCCAGTGGGCCCTGCGACTCGAGCC